GAAATTGATAACTTGGCCCCCGTGCTTCATGAGGATAGCAAAAAGAACGAAAAGTAAGCGTTAGTTTCCACCTTATTCCAAAGAACCTGGGCGACTATGAGAAATTTGAATTCCCGCCGTAAAACTGTCACAACTGTTGAGCGTTGTGGATCGGCCACGTGAAAACGTGTGAAAGCGTGAATATGAACAGGTTTTATGTTGGACCTTCCCTTAAACTTACACGTGAATCCGCAGGGCCATGCACTTCGTCACAAAAGCACTTCCCCCCCCCCCCACCACAGCGGCAGATGCAGTCCAGCAGATGGGAAGGAACAGCTTTTCCATGGACGATTTCTTTAAGCCTAAACCTAAGCCTAACCCTAGGCCCAAAGACACGCCCCAGGATCACATTGGTGTGGCTCTTGCACACGAATGCGAATGTATTGGTGCGAAATGGGCCGGCAGTAAAGAAAAAGGAAAAGAATCCGTCGAAAACGCTTAGGTTAAGGGCTCACTCACCTTCCTAATCGGCTGTGCTAAGGGAATGAGAGACTAAGCGCGGAGAGGAGAGTATGAGGCGAGAGAGCGCCAGACAACAGCCTGATAAAGAAAAAACTGCAGCTGCTGCAGCTCACTTTGCAAGGCCCTAGCGCTTGTCGGTGATTTCACGAGAATGCAACATCTGTGACCGTCCAGTGGGGGTCCATCCTACAGACCAGAGGGAATCGTTCAAAAGACTTCTGCCTGGTTAGGCCTTTAAACCCAACCCTGGGCTTAAGCATAAGCCATTGTGAAAGCACAAGACTAAGCCTAAGCCTGAACCTAAGCTTAACCTCAGGCTTCAATGATGGCGCTGCTCTGCTGACCTGACCTGAGAGGAGAACTGAACGTCTCCCGGCAAAGATCTGTAGACTCACCTCAGCGCTAGTGTAGGACTTGTGATGATGGTGAAGGGAATCTTCAGAAGTGCAACTCATCGTGCTGCCACTGGATCGAAGGCTTCCTAAAAACACCGGCAAAAATTGGCTAATCAATTTGTGCAGTCGAAAAATTGCAAAAAAACGGAGAAAGCATAGAAAGGAGAAGCAAGCGATTAGCGAGGCAGTAGCCCAGAAGAGACCGATCCGGTCAGCACAACAGTTCCGGACACAGCCATGGCTCCGTCCGGAGCTGAACAGTTACTGACATGGACGGTTTCTTCCTGGGCCCGTACATACACCGCAACACACACGTAAGGATGTGGGGTTAGACGGTGGTGTTCAACCTCGCTTATCAGATCCTACCGGTCGTACTTGTGACTCGTTGATGAATGTCGCCCGTCGAGTGCTGCTTCTTTATCCGAAGTCCGGATAGGAGCGTTCGTTTGACGGCAAGTGATCGTTCCGATAACGACCTGTAATAAAAACTGAATACGACCTGAACTTTTATATCGATCTTGCAGTACTTCCAATGCCCGAACCTATCAGATCAGCCACCTCGAGAAAACCCTAAACAAATAGCGGCCAACTTCCTGGTTTTGGCCACGCGTGCGCCATTCCTGCACACATATGGGCCATCCGCTCTGGTACGGTTGTATACGTAATACGGCTACTGTAGGTCACTTTGAAACGGAGGATTTTTTGGACTACTGGAATTGTCTTTGGTATTGTTAGAAACTTCGAGGGATCAATCTCAAAGTTCTCGACTTTTTCAGGTTCTTAAAAGAAAGCGAAGGAAGTCGAAACGTCAGCCGACCTTGAAGAGGCTTCAACAAACTATAAAACTGAATCTTCACTGCCAAGATTAAAAGAAAATCGATCGTAGACTACATTCTGAACCTCTGGCCCAATAAAAGGATGACATTGGTCAAGCTCAAATTCATTAGGATGCACCATGCATCACACCTCCATTCGCTTTCGTGGTAGCATTGGGCCAACCCAAAAAGACCGCCATTTCCTGGGTAACCATTTCTCAAAAACTCGATAAAAAATGAGCTTACGCAAAATGGGGAAGAGAATTGATCTGGCGCGAAACCGAAGATCCTTACAAACGAGTCTTTCAGGGAGACCGTGCTTTTTCAAAAGAGGTTTCTTGCATATTGTGGAGATTCATGTACGGGAAATCATAATTCGTCTCGTTAACAAGGTTTTGAAAAAGTCCCGGTTTGCCCTAAAACATCCCCTTTTAGCCATTATGAGGAAGGCAAAGAAGGGGGCCGCACCGTGAAGAATCTTCCTTCACATCACAGTTTCTGCTCAAAGTAAGCCCTTTGTGGAAATCCGTCCAGCGACCGAGAGGAGGCCGAAATGAACGTTTCGCTATAGATCGAGTCAAAAGCAACTTTTTGGCTCTCCCACACTCACTAGAACAGGAGCTGCAGCTGGATGCATCTGCACTGTTTTTTCAGTGATCACCTCTCAAAACCAAATCAACGCCGCGTTCCGCACTTCCCAAAATTTTTAGCGACCCCCACCACACCAACATTTTGGGAAGCTCTCGAATAATGACACCCTACCCCCTTTTGCCGTCATACTCGCCATAATCGGCCATTTCGTAATACTTTCTTCGAACACCTCCAACTGCCCCTTCGACATACTCCAACTGCTCCTACTTTTTTCTCGTTTTCTCTACAACGGCCCTCGACGAGGAAGTGCGACGGGCGGAGGCAAATTGGTATGTAATGGAAGTGGCAAATCCCGTTTTCTTACCTCCTCCGCCTTGCTGGTGCATTACTGTTTGCCTTCAATACAAATCCACTTCGCCCATTTTGATGTTCTTCTGAAAAACACAGTTTATGCCATAAATTATGACCTGAACTCTCTCGCAGTGAAGCAGAATACTTGGGAAATACGGGTCTCATCCAGTAAGAGGGGCATTGCGGTGCACAGTCTGCTCTAATGCCAGTTTGGCTCAAGGAGTCCTTTAAAGTTACGAGCTGCTATCAGCTTTATTCCTACGTTGCTTCTTCTAGTTTTTATATATGACATAAACGTCTATAAAAAATAATATTTATCTAGTGAACAGCTAGGACTAAACAGCTAAGAATGGGAGGAAGTCCCTCCCGGAAAAAACGAAGATTGCTTACGAACCCGATGGTTTTTCCTCCCTTCTAAGGCTTATTTCTAAACCCCTTCACTAGAAGAATACGCTGTTCGTTGTTTCAAGCACGTTGAGCCCTATCAACCGCATGCCCCTTACTGGAATAGACCCAGAAACCCTGATTAGGACTGACTTTCTTCGTCGTCTTCATTCTCCTCGTCACCTCGACCACTTCGTAAACTCGTCAGGGAGGCATGCGTATGTGACTTGGGCCGAAGTTTAGCCGCCTGGCCATGCGTGGCGCTACGTCGAGTACCGTAGCCGTGTCGTAAGCCACGTAACCATTGGCCCTGATAGTTGCCTAGAATGATACGAAAAATTAGAACTCGTTTAGCAATTGATGTGGTGGGAGATTGATTTGTCCAAGGTCTATTACTCAACGAACGCCACAACTAACTGACAGCATACACCATCGGGACAACTGTCCCCCGGATGTATGGGCGCGCTCATGAAGACACTTCACAATCAGTCAGTCAGTCAGTCATGACAGAACAGCAGCACATGCAGCAGTTGAAGAGGAGAAGACAAGCTGGGGTACTTACCACCATCCACGTAGATCTCCGTGCCGTAACCGTCGTGGTATCCGCCTGACCACGTGCCTTGGTATCTGGCTTGGGAGGTGGCCGAATTCCGTACCCCGTACCGTCCCTTCTGACCCTGCGTCCATTCTCCTCTGAAAAAAATAAGCATAACTGAAAAGATTCTGGGCAAAATGTCTGGGTACCCGACAGGAGGCCCATCGCGCGGCAAGAAGGCAGAGTCAGCGGACGAGTCGCAGCGCGTGATGTGCGATGTAGGACGTACAATGGTACATTCTATTTAACTTGACGCGAAATCTTACAGTACGCGCTGCGACTCGTCCGCTGACTCTGCCTTCTTGCCGCGCGACGGGCTTCCTGTCGGGCCCCCAAAATCTCTTACTTGTAGGTCCATCGCCCCCGTTGTTCTACACCTA